TCGCTTTGCGCACCAGTGTTCGGATCTGTGCGACCACGGCGTTACATGTGTCCGTGCGACGCAATTCGCGGAGTGCCTCTTGAGAATCTGTATATATGCGTGTTTCTGTAATGTTGGCTCTCTTCAGAATGGCTGCCTGTGTCGCCATCAAGATCGCTCGCAGTTCTTCGGAGCACGTGGTCTTCGTGTTTACAGTGATTTCTTGCTGCGTGTCCTGTTTTGTAGGGGAGTACCAGGCTATAGCCGTGCGGCCGGTCTCAGAGCGCGACGCGTCTGTGTAAAACACTTCCACGTGCTCTCCGAGACCGCCGACTTCTGCCATGTGGTTAGAGGCCTGAGTGACTCTTCGTCCCGGCGAGTCGTTCCCTTGGTTTTTGGAATCGGTTTGGCGACGGTGACCGCCTCCGTTTCCCATGGGGGCGGAGGCGTCGGCATAAATGGGCCGTCAATGAGATGGGCGCGCCCACTCAGTATCAGAATAGTTCTGCCTTGGGGTGTCCGGGACAGGCGCAGGGCTTGGCTGATTCGTTGTTCTTCGGCGATTTCTTGAATGGTATTCATCTGCGCGATGCGTTCGAGCTCTTCCACCCGTGTGAAGCGAGGGAGACCCGTGACAATCCTCATTGCGGCCCGATTCATTGTGACAAGTGTGGTCTCCTGCGTCTGAGTTAGATTTTGAAAGTTCAGTCCATAAATAACCTTTGACACTAGAAGAGTCCGCACGAGACGGCGTAATAGGTCTTCTTGAGCCCCCCAAGCTTTGTTGGTAATTGCTTTGAGGAGGGTCAGACCGTTTTTCCACTGTTTTTTTACGTGCTTCATCCATGTGTTGGCCCTTCCGTGGTGGTCGAAGGGGACACCCAATATTTTCACACAGTCTGCCTGTGTGATGGGAGTGTTTTCCACGTTAAGATGGATGTCTGTGCGTGATTTTTTGCGCTTTGCGGGAATTACCATATACATGGTCTTCTCCTTAGAAAGCTGAAGTCCGGTGTTTTGTGCGAAAGTGGTGACGATGTCAAGGGCACGTTGCATGTGGTATTGCTGGTCGGATGCCAGTCCGGCTGTCGTCCACAGGGTGACGTCATCCACATAAATGGTATAACGCACCTGTGGAACGGCCTCAAGGGCTAGGGCGAGATCGGTCATGGCGAGGTTGAAAAGGAGCGGCGACAGAACCGCCCCTTGCGGTACGCCGATGTTGTTGGCCTTCCAGGCCCCTTTTGTATTTCCGATCGCCACCTGGTAAGTGCGATTTTCTAGAAAGGTTTTGATAAAATTTAAGGTGCGGCCCTGTATGCCTCGCCTCTGCGCAGCAGCGACCACGGTGGAGTGCGGGATAGAGTCAAAGGCCTTTCGCAAGTCGATGGCGACGAGTGTCCGAGGCTGAAAATTGGAGAGGTGGCGTTCGTAGAGGTCGTGATGATTCATTACCAGGCTGTCTTGAGTTGACATTTGAGGTCGGAAACCAGTCTGCATGGGATGGAGGGCGCCCGTAGTCTCGAGGATCCATTGCAGGCGGCCGATGGCCATGCGCTCCAATACCTTGCTTAAATTGGAAGTGAGGGATATCGGTCGGAGATTTGCTATTGCGTGCGGAGTCTTGGCGGGCTTCGGAATGGGAATCACTGTAGACCGTTTCCACTCCGCCGGCATTGCGCCTTCCATCCAGACCGCATTGAATGTGTCGAGGAGTTCGTTCATCGCTTCCATCGGAAGGTTCCGGAGCGCCGTTATGGTGACGTGGTCCGGACCTGGTGCAGAGTTCGCCTTCGCCAAGCTAAGGGCGTCAATGAGCTCCGCCATAGTGAATGATGCGTCCCCCGGTTGTTCGTTTATGATGGGCAGTGGTGTGTAGACCTCGGCCGGTGGTGGAGTAGGTTGTTGAGGAAAGAACTGTTCCCCGGCTAATTCCCCAAGTTGTTCCTCGGTTATGTTAAGTCGCAGAGCTAGGTTGCTCCCGGTTTTGCGGGTTTTAATCTTTCCGGCGAGTCCCTTGTACGCATGCCATACCTTCATGTAGCCCGTCCTGTCGTTGAAAGAGTCGCACAACCCTCTCCAGGTGGTGCGACAGAGCTCGATCGTGTATCTTTTGGCCTTGGCTGTGGCCTGATTCAGGCAGATCTTGTTCGTGAGGGATTTCTTGGCCCTGTACCGAACGAGCGCCTTGAGGCGTTTTTCCCACAGCGTGACCAGGCGGAGGTCGAGGGGTGGCGTGTCCTCTTTCACCTGGTACTCGGTGCGGGCCTCTTTGAGCGCTAGCTGGATGCGCTCTGCGAGGGGGACGCCGTTGTGACGACCTATTGCGGTACGATAGTTGTCCCACTTGGTGAAGGTTGCTCGCCGTCTTGGGGAGGAGCGAATGGAGAGCTGGATACAAATGGGAAGGTGATCGCTGCCCATGGGGTCCGACTGTACTTGCCATTGGATTTTCAATTTCGGTGATGCCCAGGTTAGATCGGGTGACGTGTCGTTGTGTCCGGGTATCTGGGCCAACCGGGTGGGTACTTCAGGGCTGTTGCAAAGCTTGAGCTTGGCTGCAACACAGGCTTTTTAGAGCGCAGCTCTTAGGCGCCCGTTCCCGGCTTGAGCGGCGTCGCCGTCGCCGTCGCCGTCGGCGTCGGCGTCGGCGTCGGCGTAACCGCGAGTAACCCTCGTAACCCTCGTGAGGGTTATGAGGGTTACGAGGGTTACTCTCACGAGGGTTACCCTCACGAGGATTACGAGGGTACCAACCCTCGTAACCCTCGTAACCCTCACGAGGGTTACGAGGGTTAGTTACCTTCAAAAGGGTTACCCTCACGAGGGTCACGAGAGTTATGAGAGTTACACTCACGAGGGTTATGAGAGTTACCCTCACGAGGGTCACGAGAGTTACCCTCACGAGGGTCACGAGAGTTACCCTCACGAGTGTCACGAGAGTTACCCTCACGAGGGTTACTAGGGTTACCCTCACGAGAGTCACGATCGTTACCCAGGTCACGTGACCCCCCCCCCCCCCGAGGTCACGTGACCCCCGTTGACGTCGTCGCCACTGATGACGTCATCAGTGCCGTCACGGATGACGTCACTGGCATCCGCATCGTTATCGTCATCATCACTGATGACGTCATTAGTGACCTCACCGGCATCTCATCGTCATCGTCATCATCACTGATGACGTCACTGATGACGTCATCAGCATTGTCACGTGACCCCCGCCACCCGACGTCACTTGACCCACCCCGCCAGTGCCCTTCCCTCCTCCTCCTCAAGAGCTGCGCTCTAATTCTGCGTTACTCGGAGTAGTAAACGGCTTTCATTTTTTTAAGCTCTTTCCCCGGGCGTTCTCGTCGGGGTATCCCCCCGCGGTGTGACGAGCGTTGAAGTCACCAGCCAGGATGGTGTGCCGGCCCATTGCTACAAGTCCCTTGATCCAAGCAGCCTCGTTGGAGCTCACGGACGGCCTTATGTATGTGTTGTCTATGTCGATCACAGTATCCCCGAGTTTGACCCGCGTAGAGACAACCTCACGGTCGTCTGAACACGCTGTCTCGGAATTTAATTGTGTTTGTGTATGTTTTTTCTTGACCAATGTGGCTACGACACCGTAGTTATTTGTTTGTCTTTTAATGCTCGGCTGTATATATGTGTTATATCCTCGAATTTTGATTTTGTCAACATTAGCTTCCTGAAGAAGGATAACGTCTGGTGCGCGGTCTTTTAGTGCTTGCAGACGAATTTTAAGTTCCGGTAGCTTTGGCCGCAACCCTCCGCAGTTCCACTGAAGTATGCTCGGGGATGGGTTGGAACGCCGTGAGGTGTGTTTAGGTGTGGGGGGTAATTTCTGTTGGTTGACGTTTGGGTTGAGTTGATTAGTGCTTGGCATTATGCGTGTTAATGAGCATATGTATGGCCGTCGTGAGCGCGGTCATCTGTTTATCCAGTCGCGCGAACCCTGCCTGCTGGGCGCGCAGAGTTTGTAACATCATGCCGGCCTCTTGTGATTGATGTGCTGGTGGTGTCTTGGGTTGAACCGATCCCGTGGTCTTAGCTGCATATGAGGTCCCGCCGCCTAGGTGTGCCGGTGGCGCAGAAGCTGTTGGCAGAGGTGGAGGTTGTTCCTGTCCTTGATCCTTTCCTGCTGTTGGTTTTTGGTTGTTTCGCCGCGGTGGGATTGCTCGCTGCGGGCAGTCTTTGCTGGTGGCTACGTGGGCACCGCCGCAGTTCCTGCACTTTGGGGTTTGTGCACATCCTTCCATGCCGTCGTGCTCGGAGCCGCACGTTCCGCATCGAGAAGCGTCCCTAGGGCACACATCCCTCTTGTGTCCGATCGCGTGACAGCGAAAACACACCAGAGGACGTGGGCGGTACTCGCGTACATTAAGGACTTCGCTCATGTAGCTGACTTTCTTGGGGAGAACTCTGCCTTCAAATGTCACAAGGATGGTGTTCCCCTTGGGTCCCATCGGTCTTGCTACAACGACTTTGTGACTCTTGGACACAATGTCTGCTTGTAGAGACTCGGCGGTCACCTCGTGTCCCTCGCCCGGGAGGTAGAGTACTCCCCGGCATTCGTTCCCTGCCATAGCTTTATAGGGCTGCAGTTGGTGTACTTCTGTGCCCTTTCGTATTTCCTTCACCTTGAGAAGTTTCTCCAATGTTAGGGGGTCGCGTGTTGTTATGGCTATTGCATTTGCCTTTTCATTACGATGAACGGTGTACTGCTCATTGCTCTGAACGCCGGTTTGCTTGACAGCGTCAAAGATTTCCTGCCCTGTGAAGGCATTCACCGCCTTTCTTCCAATGGACCGAAGTACCACCGTCTGTGTTGGTTGTGGAATTGGTTTTGACGTTTCCGCATCCTCCGGAGTCAGTGGGTTTCTTTTCCTCTTTCGTGCTGTGGCGCCCGGGAGCGGCCACTCTTGGTCGTCATCTCCCTCCATATTCTGCGATGCAGCTTGCGGTGACGTTCCATGTTGCAAGGGCACCTCGGTGTTGTGTTCTTGGTTAAGGCCGCCATGGCACTGAGATGCGGTGACTGTTTGAAACTGGTTGCCATTCAGTGTCAGTGAACGTGCTGTATAGGAATGGTCGCTATCCGGAATATGCCGGTGCTCTTCTGACAAGGTTGTGTCATCTTGCGTATTTGTTTCGCTTCTAGGCGAGCGAGATCTTGCACTACATCGTGTCGATGGACGCCGGTGCCGTGGTTCCTTTTGCCGCACTTGTTGAGGTGGGCAGTGCTCAGCTTGCGGAGGCGGTGTGAACTGCGCCATAAAATGATTCAGTGCCTCGAGGAATGCGGGGTTCTGCTGAATCAGTGTCGCTAATACATTAAATGTATGTTCGAGACTTGGTGGCGGTGGTCCCTGTGGTTGTTCTTGAGTCGATGGAAGGCTTACTTGCAGTGGGTGAAAGGTTCCGTATAGAGGTCTGTCATCGAGGAAATGGTCGGCTCCGGGTGGTGGCTGTTGCTGGGTAAGCCTGGACATTTCTGTGCCGGACGCCTCCGGCGGCGATGGTAATAGGTCACCACCCGAGCTGGTCTGGCCCGAGGCCAGGGCCAAGGCCGCAGGGAACCCGCAGGCCAGTGAAGTGGGCGCTAGGTTAATCTCGCAGGAGCCGTAAAAAATACGTCTTATCAGTTCCGAACTCTTCTTCTTCTCCGAACCATGGAATTATTTTTCAACTTCTTCCTCTTTAGCTTTAAGCCTCAATTTATTTATTTATTCAAGTACCTTAAAGGCCCATATCTGGGCATTACATAAGGGCGGACTGTGTAAGTAAAAACACAAAGGAAACATAGAAGATAATGCTGTGATGGATGGATGGAAGAATCATTTCATAGACAACAGTCGCCGAAAGCGAAATGAGAAATCTCGTGGTCGTGACGTGCTTCAGCACCGGAGGGGATGAGCGGCGTTTGTCTACTTCCGGTTCCTTAGGAACCGGAAGTTGACAGGATGTTTTGTCAGGATGTTGCCAACACCGACTGGACCAAAGTATTTGACGAGGACGACGCCGATAGAGCCTATAACACTTTTATGGATCACTTTTCTACCCTATGCAAGACCCATTTTCCATTTAAATCACTTAGAAAGCCCAGACGTGTTCGAAAACCATGGATAACGCCGAATTTTCTATGTAAAATTCGCAGGAATAATACATTGTATAATAAGTTTGTGAAGACCAGAAGCCTAGAGTGTTTGAGTCGCAAATGAGATTCGACGCGCCAGAACTCGTTATTATTCTGATGTTTTTGGGTCTAGAAACAGACGTGTGGATATTGTGTGGAAACAGATAAACTCAGTTTTAGGTCGCAATCAACCAACAAACTCTATCGAACAAATAGAGTGTGATGCTGTAATGCCTGACAGGTTGTTTATTATCTAACGCTTTCAATGACCATTTTGTGACTATAACGAGCACCAAAAATAACTCATTCTAGTTTTTGCGATGCAAGGAACGACGCCTCAATATTTCTTGAACCAGTTAGTGAATCTGAAGTAATTTCTCTTATCCTGCAATTAAAAAATGGCAAAAGCTGTGATGCCGACGACATCCAGATAAGACCTTCGCAAAACTTGATGACGTAGTTTAAACTTTGGAAATCGCAGTATACCCCAGTGAAGATATTAAAATATCTTCACTGGGGACACTGTTTGCTGTTTGTATGGTCCCCCAGGCACTCTCAAGCTGCCAACGACAGCCTTTTCACCCGGGGACCCCCAACACTGTGTTGGAAAATAAAATTGAGTTGAATCGAATTGAAATGCGGCTCATAGATTGGAACCGAGCATTGCGTGAGCATCCGATTTGGGGTCGCGATAATCAATAGCTCGACAAGCATTCGGAAAGTAGCTCGTGCCCAATCGCTTTAATGACGACCATAGCCGCCCTAACAATATCTGGAACTCAGCGCGTGTCCTGTGCTCTTCCAACCCCAGCGAGTGGCTGTGATAAACATTGACGGCATATAATCGGCTTCAGATCACGTGACCACTTGTTCTGGCTGCGATTTTAAAAGAAAAACCACAACCGACAGCTCATTTTTCCTTCAATTTTTTTATACTATTGCACGAGGAGAATAACTAACGTATGCTTCAAAGGTTATATCCTATATCCTCCTATATAATGACAAAGCCTGGCAGATCGCCACGAGAAGCGACCGTCGAAATGGAAAAGGTGGAGCGGCGGACAACGGATGTGAGAGCCACGTGACTCGCTCCCCGCTGCGACGAGAGCCGACGAAACACACTTCTCCCGAGCGGACAAGTATGTTTCGGGTCCTCGCCGCTGCAAAATGCTGTGCGCTGACGTTCAGGTTCCCCTAGAGTTCCTGTATATGCTACCTACGGTAGCAGAGTTGCGCATTCAGCCTCGGCGCGTGGCCGTAGCGCCGGCTTTCCCGCACGAGATGGATGCTTTGTTCCTCACGTGACTAAATTTGGCGAATAGCGGCGCCGCGCGCGCCGCCGCGCATGGAAAACAGGAGAGGAGGAAAAGGAGGCGGAAAGCAGGGAAACATACGCCGGGGCAAGAGAAACGTCGGCGGAGCGACCGTAAAGGTGGCTTTCTTGCACGCCAACGGATGCTTTGCTCCTCACGTGATGGATCTCGGCGAATAGCGGCGTGGCGGCGCGGGGAAAACAAATGCGCAACTCTGGCTCCCGTAGGGAGCCTATGCAGGAACTCTAGGTTCCCCTAAAGCCCCTTTATGTTGCAAACGTAGCGCAAGGTTCGTCGATGCACGAGGCACGTGCAACGTGCAGCCCTTGGGAAAATCATGACGGCACAGCGCAGCACTGAGCTAGATTTCAGACGCCATGAATTTCCCAGAAGTGGCGCGCGGCACATGCCTCGAGCATTTCTACAACAATGAATGGCGCCACTTTTCCCGGGATAAAGGGGCTTTAGGTTCCCCGAGAAATGGCTCTTTGATGCCCTGTGCTACCAGATCCTCGCGCTTCAAATCTACGACCGGGCACTCTATGGTTCCGTCGTCGAACTGCCAGGCTTTGGGAGTATAGAGGATGCTATGGTTATATACGCCAGAGATTTATTCTAAATGGTATTTACGCAAAGTACAAAACTTTGGGTAAACGTGCCGGTATGGGAAACTCATTCAGATCGAAAAGGTCAGGGAGTGGAGATCGAACCCAAGAGGCCCTACAGCGCAAGCTTTCGCTCCACGCTCCAAACTGAGACACTGGGCCCACACGGCCACCGAACCCCTGAAGCTTGCTTACGCCAACACATCTCTGCAGGTTCAGAACGTGGAGGATAAAAAGCGGGGGCAAGCCATTTTGAGTCCAATGCGTGCTTGCTGATGCCCCAGCGTTTCGCGTTGGTCTGGCACATTGCATCGCACGAGCTGTTTTAGACCGTCATATCTGGAGTCGCGAATAGACCTCTTCAAGATATGGCTCCTGGCCGGTTTCATACTGAGTGTTTGTGCGTAAGGTGCGCGATTTGCTCGCTTTCCTAAGCGACGAACAGGCGCGTGCTGGGCGAGGAGATTGCACGGTGGACTGAGGACTTGTAAATATTGAAATGGTGTATGCACGTTTCCGCTGTTTACAAAAATCACAGGTGACATGCTGCGAATTCAGTGGAAGCTTCGCATCCAGCACGAGCTTGTTGCTTTTCACCGAGGTTCCGCTACGCATGGGTTGAAGTGTTACCAGAGGCAGAAAGCTCGAGATGGAGGCGGAGCGCGCACTAAATTTGCTGAGTAGCTGTCACCGACAATAACTTCCGGCTGTCTAAACATTCATTACTATTATTGTTGATTGAAAAGGGCTCTTACAAGAAAGAGGACGAGCGAAAACTGTCCACGTGCGCTCAACAGCGCGAGGTGCCAGCGCCGGCCCATCAGTCCCGCAGTCCTCCGCTTCCCCCGGCAGTGCCCGCCCCCAGTCCTTGTCCCGAGGGCCCCGCGCCGCCGCGAAAGCTGTCAAGCTGGCGACGCCTTGGCGCAAAGCCCTGCCGGACACGTCCCAGTGCTCGAGGCCCGAGATTCCCCCCAGCAGCCTCGGCCAACGCACGGCGCAGCGAAGGGACCACTGCCGCTGCCACCGCGGCTGCAGGAACGGTTCGCCGGAAACCCATAAGCGCGCCTGTTCTGCCCGGAGTTACGAGGACACCGAGCCTCACCACCGCCGGCGTCACCACGACCACAGCCGGCACAGGTCTGAAGAGTACCGGCCCTGCGGTGTGGGCTGCGGCTCTTCGCCCGTCGCAGACAAGCTCTGCCACTCTCACCCGTCCGCTACGCAGTTCAAGGTGATCCTGGACGTGCAGCAGTTCAACCCCGAGGATCTGACCGTAAAGACCTGCGGCAAGCACGCCGTTATTCAAGCTGTACGGACGGAAGACAGGGGCCGCAAGGGCATCATTGTGAAAGAGTTCACCAGGAGATACTTGCTCCCGGAAGGTGCGGATGCGGACCGCGTCTCGTGTAGCCTCACCGAAGACGGCTTCCTGACGGTAGACGTGCCGATGAAGGACCCGCCGTTGACCGAGATTGAGAGGATCGTCCCCATCACGGTGATGCACAGCCAACCCGACTATAAGCAAATGCCTCCGTACAGGACGGCGTCTAGACTGAGTCAGCTCTCAAACGATGACGTCGGCTAAAGCCAAACTGAATGCCTATTAACGAAGAAACAAAAAGATCTCGCAAGAGACGCAGGGACGCCTACCCAAATTGGTCACCGAGCAAGCTGGCCCTCTTTCTTGTACATAATTGTTATTGCCAGGTCAGACCTATGGTTCAACTAGCTACTCAGCAAAAAGTCGGTTGGTCGAAAGCAACTGCGGTAACTAGCATCGTGCGCGTATATGCGCTAAAAATGGCTCAACCACAGGTGTCATTGACGTATGCAGAAATAAATGCACCTCATGGAGTACCCGGCAATTTTCTCACTTCATTCACTTAATGTTGTCCTCGACAGTGGCTTGAATGTGCATGTTGCTTAGCACAAAAATGGCAGTTATTAAGTTAGAAGGAGATATGTATAGACGTTTCGGGTTCGACGCGAGAACATACGTGAAGATATGTGCTATTCAGGTTGTAAACAATTGTTCACATGTATGAGCCAATGAAGCAGCATGTTAAGCTTGCAGCACGACAAGACGAACTAAGGGCCGAACTTCACGGAGCAAATATGCGGCGAACAACCTGCATGAGGAACTTTCCTGGCGGCACGTTGGCGTGGCACGCGGCGCAACAGCCACAGTTCCGAAGCTTATGCAGAGCGAAAGACGCCAAACGACGCCGGATGAAGATCGTCGCTTTTTCACAGCATCATCCGTTTGCGTTTCTTATGCCCTAGATCACTATAAGCGACGAACATGAAAAACCGCGCTGACAAGCTAGGTGACTGGTGTGCGACCGAAAAAATCCGCCTCTCCATTTCCAGTGGAGCGCTCTACTAACTGAGCTAATTAGGAGCTACACGTCAGTAGAGCAAACGGATTTTATCAGCTGCCACCAGTCTAACACCAACAAGGGTGAACGGCCTGCATTTTGAGGTCATGATGATAATGCCATTAATGCAAAGGTGCAAGCGAGCTGGACGGGAAGGACGATAATATTCCCTGGAGAAGGGGAACAAGGGGTACAAAGGACAAACACAAATCTCCAAACACAGCTAGGTGACTGGTGCGCGACCGAAAAGAGATACGCCTGGTTCTGGTATCGAACCAGGTACCTCTCCATTTTCAGTGGAGCGCTCTACCAACTGAGCTAACCAGGAATTGGACCTCAGTAGAGCGAACGAGTTTTATCGGCTGTCACCAGTCCAACACCAACAAAGGCGAACGGCCTGCATTTTAAGGTCATGATGATAATGCAATTAATGCAAAACTCCAAGCGAGCTGGACGGGAATGACGATAATAATCCCTGGAGAAGGGGAATTAACAAGGGGGACAATATGACAAACACAAATCTCCAAACACAACTAAGTGACTGGTGGACGACCGAAAAAATATGCCCGGTCCTGGTATCGAACGAGGAACCTCTCCATTTCCAGTGGAGGGCTCTGCCAACTGAGCTAACCAGGAGTTAGACGTCAGTAGAGCAAACGGGCTTTATCAGCTGCCACCAGTCTAAAACCAACATGGGTGAACGGCCCGCTTTTAGGGTCGTGATGACGATGCAATTAAGGCAAAGGTGCAAACGAGCTACACAAGAATGACGATTATAATCCCTGGACAAGAGTAGTAAGGGGGACAAAGGACAAGCACAGTTAGGTGACTAGTGTGCGATTTGTTTGGAGATTTATGTTTGTCCTTTGTCCCCCTTCTCCATGGATTATTAACGTCATTCATGTGTAACTTGCTAGCACGTCCTCATTAATTGCCTTATGACGCCGTTCACCCTAGGGTGCCTCAATGTCCTACTGTTTAGGGTGATGCCACCCTTTGTAGTACCCGATGCCGACAGCACGCGCTCACGGGGAAAATACAAAGAAATCGACGAAAACAAAATGTCGCCGTAGCACAGTCAGCGCCACGAGCGCGTGCAGGGACACGTTATTTCACGCGCTTCTGAACAAAAAAATAAAAATAAAAGTGTGAGACAAAATGGCCAGATGTCTCCATCCTAAGCAAAGCGCGCATGAAGGCACCCTAGTTCATCCTTGTTGGTGTTAGATTGGTGGCAGCTAATGAAGCCCGTTTGCTCTACCGACGTCTTTTCATGATTAGCTCAGTTGGTAGAGCGCGCTCACTGGAAATGGAGAGGTCCCTGGTTCGACACCAGGACAAGGCTGGTTTTTCGGTCGCGCACCAGTCACCTAGCTGTGTTTGGAGATTTCTGTTTGTCCTTTGTCTGGACCCTTGTTCCCGAGTCTCCAGGTATTATTACCGTCACCTATTAGAGGCGAGATGTTTCGGTGGCGCCCTCGTTCGGTTACCTTTCGTGACGTCATTACATTGGGAACAACAAGTTCGATGGCGTTTGTAATGGGCATGGTGGAAGCCTGAAATCATAGCGCTCTCAAAGCAACACTGCCAACACCGTCAAAATTGAAGTTCTTACATTCCTCTTATTTCCGTCGATGAGATATCATCGCTAAACCCCCCTTTCCCCTCCCCCATACCACATGAGGCCCAATAGGCCAGGGTATGGTTCACATAATAAACGTTTCAATCAATCAATCCTTTGCTGACGTCATAGACAGCATTCGGCCAATTCTGGTGGGCCGACCACAGCGACGCTTTCGATCGCTCACGTCGCAATACTCCGTTCACCCTTGGTATTCACACGAGGGAGAAATCCCGGGGATTTCTCCCCGGCACGCGCGCATCACGAGATGAAAACGCGAGGCTTTTGCACATCGCAAAGCCTGACGTTTTCGTCGTGGGATGCGCATGCCGGGGAGAAATACCCCGGATTTCTCCCTCGTGTGAATACCCCTTAAGCTGCAGACTAGAAGCTCGCCTTCAACGCGAGCTCACCATGGCTTCCGCAGTGCTTTGGTTGCGCTTGCCTGCGCGTTCATACTTTTGCTAGCAAAGGAAGAAAGCTCTCGCCGAAGGCGGAGTTTCTGGTCTCAGCTTAAGGGGTATTCATACGAGGAAGAAATCCCGGGGATTTCTCCCCGGCACGCGCATCCCACGACGAAAACGTCAGGCTTTGCGATGTGCAAAAGCCTCGCGCTTTCATCTCGTGATGCGCGCGTGCCGCGGAGAAATCCCCGGGAGTTCTCCCTCGTGTGAATACCCCTTTAGCTTTGCAGCAGCTGTGCATGGGCGCCGCCATAACTGACCTTCAGTTTTTGTTCCCCTTATTACGTCTACTTTACTTCATTATTGCCATAGCAATCCAGGTTATTGACATCTTAGACTTTATTCTGTCTTGCTCCCCAGCATTGGCCTTTGTGGAGGCTCGTCCACACCAATTTCAGTGGCTCGGTATCTGGGTAAAACAAGAGAAGGTCAGCAATGGCGGCTGTATTCTGGCGCGTGTATAAAGCGTCTATTGGCGACGTGAGCGATCGAGAGCGTCGCTGCAGGGTCGGCCTGCCCCGACTGGCCGAACGCTGACTATGACGTCAGCAAAAGATTTATCATCGACGAAAATAAGAGAAATGTAACAACTTCAACTTTGACGGAGTTGGCAGTGTTGGCTTCAGAACGCAATGATTTCAAGCTGCAACCATGCTAATTACAAACACCGTCAAACTTGTTACTCGCAAGGTAATGACTTCAGGAGAGAGACCCATAGGAGGGCGCCACCAAAACATCCCGCCTTTAATCTCGCCGCCAAAATAGGAGGTATTCTCTGGACGCCATATTTGTGGGTACTGTTTAGAGCGCATGCTCAGAAAGAGCTCACATTAATAGCCTGCTAAGACCGGCAACCTTGATGGTGCTAAATGCACGCTCCAAAAGGACTGCGGAGCTCGCTGTCGGCACGCGCTCAGCAGCAGCGCACACGGATATGGCCGCCAGTGAATACTCCCTATACTGCTGTGCGAACAGGCAAGACAGGCGCCACGAGCAAGTGCTGCATGCCCCGTCATTTTCTTACAGGGCTCGCGTGGGACACGTGCCTCGTGGATTGGCACATTCGTCGCTACCTACAAATATAAACGGATGAAGGAGCGCGCTTTAGGTTACAATGTACTTTGGGTCAAACTAAGATCTGGTGACTTTAGGTCAAGAGAGACTCTTGACGTGTTTGCGTTCGTTTTACGAGTAGTGCCTAATGCGTCAATGCACAACGCCCGTGTACCGCGTACTGCCCAGTGGCACTAAACCCGTGTACAAGTTCCTGTGGCATTTTCGACGAGACGAGGTGAGCACGTGCACATCCTTAATTGGGGTTCAAGCACGCGCCCCGGTATCTATGACTGCGTGGCAGTCTTGTACGCGTTACTGGAAAAAAAGTGACCGATTACAATTACAATAGACCTGCTAAATTACCCAAGCATCAAGGAGCATGCAGGGATTGGTGTTCCACGCGCTGTACGTTCTTGCCTCAGCAGTAGTAATTTTTCTAAAGCAAATGCCTAAAACAAATTTCATCTTGCACGCGCGTTCGTCAGCGCTTTATTTTGGTTATTTACTTAAAGCCTTTTTTACGGGGAATGCGTGCGCGTGTGGCGCGTGGAACACCAATCCCTGCATTTTCCTTGATGCTTGGGTAATAATTGATTACATTGCACGTTACTTTTCAAACTTTTTTTATTAAGAAATAAAAAAATACATATGTTCAGTGGTTACATTCCAGGGCGTTTTCAGATAAGATCGAATAACCATGTCCTGTCCGTTGACCATTTTTTTTAATTTTGATGAAAAAATTGTTTTGCTGCCTCCATGCCAAGAAGAATAAAAACAATCCCTGCCTCGAAAGAAAAAATGTGTCTTTGCGAAAAAAAAAAAAAAAAAAAATTTAAGCACCCTCTCCGTCACGTGCGCGTTTTGCGTATCGCGCAATGGTGCATTTAATAATTATTTTATTTACCATACAAGTATGGTGGGAGCTGAGGAAAAAAGCTGTGCAAGCAGCTTGATTAGTCCTCAGCCCCCCACAGGTACACAGCATTGGGGAAGTCATACAGAAGAATTTATATAATACAAAATACTTAACAACAACACAAAAAATTAACAAAACAAAAACAAAAGC